AAATGCGGTCCCAGAAGGCCCCCCCTGGAGAGGGGGAGTATAATTTTCCAATAACATAAAGATGAAGGGAAAGGGGTATTTGCCCAAGGGAGAACAAAACAGTAATCAGCGCAAAACACCCACCTCGGGCACTTGTTTGTTTAATTTCCCCCGAAAAATTTTTGGGGGGCCCGTGTTACCAGATGGGTCAGCAGAAAGCGCAGCCCCGGGAAAACGGAGGGGCAGGGGAAACTTTTGGATTTATCCCAATAAAAACCAGGGATACACCCAAATTTTCCCAAACGGGAAAGCACTGTCACAACTAGATGCAGAATTTTAAAACCATCAAGATAGGGGTAGAGAAGAAAATAAAATGGGGTTTTTTCACAACCAGTGGTTTTCCTGAAGATGAAAAAGCGGGTTATTCATAACTCCAGTCGGGAAAATTTCCCAAGCTCCCAAAGAAAATTAATTATCCAAACAGGAAACCGTCGGGAAAAATTAGTAATGCAGTGGATCCCCTTTCCCAAACTGTGGAGCCCCCGGGAAACGAAAAACCCTGATAAACTAGCTAAGGAAGGTGAAAACGGGGAAAAAAAAACCTGACATACCATTTCTCTTTCAAAGAAAAAAGAGAATGATCAAATAATCAGAATCCCCCGAAACTGGCACAAGATGATTAAAATATTAGGGACAGACCAGAGCAAGGATACTTCGAGTCCTGGCACGAGATGAAGACGTCGGTCGCAACAGTCTTTGGTTACTTGCCGATGTGGCTAAAGTCACCTGGGAAACAAAAACCGACGTCAGTATATAATATCACCGAAATACATCAGCAGATAAATTATTTAACAGCATTGAAGAATTAAGGTAAAACAATTCCTAACAGTGAAAGTGTTGTATCTGAAAGGTCACCAACAACGCAAGGAACAGGGTCACATTTTGAGGGTCTCCGTGGCAAAGTGGTCAAGCCATTTGAATTGCCCTCTGAAGGTTGTGGGTTCGTTCCATGGCTGTGCCCTTCAGTTCACAAATGAAATTTTTATGGAGATCCCTGGGGATCCTCACCAAGGCTACGGAGTTCGTGCTCTGTGCGGCGCTCTCGGCAGGTGGCTAGCCGTTCTGAGGACAGAGACAGAGCCATATGGGATAAAATCCGGGGCAATGATGTCTATCTTCTCAACTTTAACTTGATTTATTAGCATTAAAGAAAAGGCTGGAACAAGACCATGCCTGATATATTCAGGTTAGAGGTTTGAACTACGGATCAACATCATGGCACATGGGTAGTAACCCATAAGTGCTCCGTTCTACTTCTAACGTAAGTCTGAGTATGAAGAAGCTCAGCACAGTGCACAGGCCCTGTAGCACCGGCGAGAAACCTGAAATACTTTGGGTAAATTTTTAACTCTAAATTTTGCCCGGGCGGCGTTGTTAGACTACTCTTTTCGATTTCCAACTGCCAAGGGATTTTTTTACATGCGCAACAGTGCACACGGGCGTCCAATCTCACTACCCAGAGACCAGGGGGAATTACTAAAGTACAAGACCACATGAAAAATCCCAGCCCTTACCGGGGATTGAACCCAGAACTTCTAGAACTCTAGGCGGACACCATGCCATGAGACTATGCAGTCCCGCCCTGAATTATATTGGAAGCCAGAGAATGAAGTCGTCTGGCCGTCTAGTAAGCATGCAGCCAAACCAAATTGCTTATAAGATCTTCTACAGAAGAATATTTGGGCAGAAAGTGAGAGGAAGGCCAAGGAAGAGACAGTGTAGCAGAACAATACAGAACAGAGGAACACATCCATGAGGCCACCCCTCCATGATGTTAGGCTGCAACCTGGCAACAATGTGATGCCAAGAGATGAACAAGGAAACCAAAGGCTGAAGAGACGTTTTTGTTTATTTATCAGAGGCTTTATGAAACCTGCAAAAAGTTGAACAAATCCATCACTCAAGCCACCCAAGAAGCCCAAGACAAATACAGAAACGCACGACACTGGGTTACAACCTGGTAACAGTGAAACGACAAAAGAAGAAGAAGAAGAAGATTGGAGACGTTTTCTAGTGATTCAGGCTTACTGGGCATATGCAAAAAAAGTTAAGGACACTTTTCCCATGTCTTAGGGTATATAGGGCTAGACCGATATTTTATAGACCAATCAGGTAATGTGCCCAACATCATGCCGGCTGCCTTTACTTCCCAGAAATTTACCTGTTACCCATTTAGGCTGGGTCAATCGGGAAGCCAAGGCATGGGTTTATTCCTGAGTGCTAAGTGATCTATAACATTATGGAGCTTACAGCATTTGCCCAGGGGAAGCCACCATCACGGATTTGCTAGATGCTCGAGTTCAAATGTGGAGCTCGGTTTTTCCTTTTCTTCAGGAGCACAAATTCTTATTTTCAGGTGCAACTATCTTGGAACGACATGCGGTTAAATAGCAACTGTCTGAGACTGAAAGAGCTGAGGAAGAAACTGCTACAGAGCTCCCCTGCCCCTCTCCCAGCCCAGAGACCTGTGGGGGGTGCAAGACTGGTACTGGAGATTCACATCTGCAGGAAACACATCAGGACATAACCCTGTCAGAATGACAACACTGCTATGAACCAACCAATGATGCTAAGGCAGACATGAAAGACTTTGGGAATTTTGAAATGCTATGGCATCCCAGCTAAAATAAATGCATTATTATACATTTATACAATGGTTCAGAATGTACAGTGCGCACTGAAAATAGTCTAAGTGGCTTTTTTTGGTTTTTGGTGGAAACTGGAGTGAAATAAGGTTGCATTCGATCTTCCTTGCTGTTTGGAGTAGCCATTGATTAGGTAATGAAAAAATGTGGCAAAGGCACTAGTGGCATTGACTGGGTAAAGAATAGACAACTGTAATATCTGGATTTTGCAGAGGATATTGTTTTGTTAAATTAAAATAACAAAGACATTTTTAAAAAAAAACAGTATCAAAAACAGGACTACAAATAAGTTATGAGAAAACAAATATATTAAAGATACCAACAACAGATCATGTAGATGTCATGCTAGAGAACAAACCAATAAAAGTAACAAACCATATCACCTTTCTGGGTAGCAATTTTGACTCTCAAGGAGAATTAAATGAAGAAAATTATGATACGCATTGGCAAAGCAACAACAGTCTTTAAAAACCTTAAGAAAATAAGGAGCTCCAGGTTAAACAGATTTGAAAACAAACTATGAAATTGAAAACAAACTATGAATTTTTAATTCTAATGTTATTTCATTTCTAACATATGCCAGCAAAATTGGGAAACTAGCAAAGATTTGGAACAAAAGTTTAATGCCTTTAAAAATAAATGTCTGTGAAAAATCATGAACAGAAAATAGGAAGAAATAAAAAAGAATGAGGAGATCAGAGAAATTTCTGGACAAATACCTGTATCGACTGCAATAAGACAAAGAAGGGGGAGATTATTGGGCACACTCTAAGATGAAATGAGCAAAGAATTACAAAACAGGCACTGAAATGGGAAACAAATAGTCTGTGAGAGAGAGAGAGAAAAAAAAAAAGAAAACGTCCAAGGGTAACAATAGGTAGAACATTATTATGAGAGGTAAAAAATGAATGAACTTCATGTCAGAAGTCAAGAAATCTGACTTGTTAGAGCTTCAGCCACAGATAGGAACATTTTTTGGCCTGTTTTGTGTTCGGAACATTGGTACTGATGGCCAGTTGAACACCAAATCAGATAATGCACTGTCTGAAAATGACACTAGTAATGAATCAGATAAATGTGCACCAACATGTGTGTGAACAAAGACTTTTATAACAAGAAAAATGTTAGAGCAACTTTCCCTGAATACTTTAATGATAGTTCCTAACATTAGAAATCAATATCAAGCTGTATGAAAATCAATATGTATGAGACACATAATCGACTGACAGTGTTGTTTGCGCAAATCATAACCTCTCATTTTAAAACACTAATAGTGTTGCTCGGGCCTCAGAGAGTTAAAAGGAGACGCCAAAGTGAAGAAACAACAATGACAACAAAAAAAAGCATGAATGCATTATTTTCTAAGTGGCAATACACACAGCGGGTGAAGCCAGATTTCATTAAAATGTTTGGACTAAATGTTAAATGCAAGAGATCACATTATGCTATGAAGAAAAATCAAGAAACAGTCACTCATCACTGAAAAAATAAAATAAAGGGCTAAAGCATAAGAAATTTCTTCCACGCATTTTAGGTATTTCTTGGTCAACAGATTAGAACCCAGTGGCCCGAGGGTGCAAAACAAGATGTCAGTTAGGTTTAGAGGTGAATTACCTTCTTTTTCGTCTTGCTGCCACGGGGACGTACTTGTGCATCCTCAGCGTGAACAGGTGAAGATGGACGCAATCCGTTTTCCTTCGTCATCCTGGGGTCATGCCCTGTATGTATAAATTATCAAGTTGTTAATTAACATGCTAGACTTACAGGCATAGCTCTTATCCATTTAATGGCACACAACAATCATTCCAAATGATTTATTTATTTGGTGATTCACTTATTGTATTCAATGATAACCTAGACATCTTTAAAAAAAAAAAAAATTTATTTTAATTTAAATTTAAAAAAAAACAGACATCACAACATTTGGGACAACACCAATGACAGGAAGAAGAGGCGAATCGCAATTAGAAGAAAAATAAGCAAAAGGCGTACAGGCACAAAGGGGGGGGGGGGGGAACCACACATTTTATAGATTAAACAGGGGGTCTCAAGGAGCCAAATCCCTTTTTTAACAGGATAAGAGCATGCGTGGGTTCTGGGGAAAACAAGAATAGACCCACTGCCTTCCCAACAAGCATGTTGTAAGAGTCGACTGATTGTGGGTTTCCTTCAAAGTCAGAGTGCATATGCCAGAGAAGCAAGAAACCAACAGTCTGCATACAAATGTTAGATCTGTAAAACAGATGTGAATACAACACATAAGTTCTGGAACAAATCTAAAGTCCAGAGGTGGATGAACAGCCAGAAATTTCTGCTGGAGTTTACAGTCAGTAGATGAGAAGAAAAAGAAGATAATAATGTACCTGAATATAATTCATATACAATGTACTTGAAATAATAGGAAATGTATGAACAGAAACTTGTACACAGATTTGTTTTATACGGTTAAAGGGGCAGCTTAGCCCACTTACACTATTATTAAGGGGTTGGAACACAACTTGTGTGTGTGTGTATGTGTGTGTGTATATGTGTGTGTGTGAAAGGAGGCCTCAAGCCAGCGTCTAGGCCCTATGCACAGCAGCAACAGAAGAATAAAAAGAAAGACAAGAAAAAGGGGAAGATCTTCTCGTCTGCCGTTGTCTGCCTTTCAGGCCCACTAAAGTGAATCAGTGCCTATTCTGTCTCCAACCACTTGCTATGTGGTAGAAACTCAACTCTCATCTATGCTTATCTGTTCTAAAGTCTATGCTTGCAACAAGCTGAGACACGACAAACACCAATTGCTTAACAACCGGCCTGATTTCTGTAAAATACTGAAAGATATGAAGCTATTTAGATCGTAGAGGTGAACCTTTCTGTCTGGTGGCTTTAAAAACTGTCGTTATCAAGAAAAAAGATTACCTCTAAACATTTACAGATCCAATTAAACGGTACAAGTATGAAAACTTGTCACCGCAGACTCCATTTGGCCGCCATTTGTACACAGAGGAAACTAGGTAGCCAGGTTTGTTTGCATTTTGAGGCTAACTGGATTTTCTTTCACGTGTTGACTTTTTTTTCTCTCTCTCTCTCGTTTTCTGCTTCACATTCACCGGCTGTAAACTTCGGCGGAAAATTCTAGTTGTTCTTTGACTTCTGGACTTTAGTCTTATTCTAGAACTTAAGTTTCGCGTTGCCAATCCTTTTACAGATGTGGCTTACTTGCATGCAGATTGTTGGTTCCAAACCCCATGGGCATACTCCGACTCCGAAAGAAGCCACTAGTTAATCGACTCTTACGACACGCTTGCTGGGGAAGCAGTAGGTCTATTCGTGTTTTCGCCATAATGGGGCCCCGGAACCCCCACACGGGGAATGAGAAACATTTGAGACCATTACAGCAATGGACTTGAAGTAAAGTAAAAAGAAATAATGAAACTGGAGGAAAATGACGCCAGAAAAAAAAAATGCCAGAGCGAAGGGAGTGGCGCTGGACTGGATTTCATCCAAGATATTGATTGAACCAATTATACAGGGTAGAACGGAGTCGAGGAATATACTATGAGTTCTATGTGACATATAATGGCACAAGAAGACAATGATGATGATGAATGTAAAGTTACCTTTTCAAGTCAAAAAGTGTTAAACACAACATACCACGACATAAAATGCGATTTAAACTTGACTGAGGGATTTGACCAAACGTGCACAAATAAACCGAACGTTTCGACCAAATTCTTTATCAACGAAGTACTGAATAGAATGTAAACCGTGACTGAAAAACTCAACGGACAAGACAACAAAATTTCTAAACAACCAAGAACAACCCGAAATTCCATTCCCTCCGCTGATCCTTACTAAAAAAGCTTTTTTTTTTTTTTTAATAGTCGCATTTTATGTTGTATATAGCTCTTCATGTCATCCTCTCGTCTGCAGTCACAGCCTGTTAGAATCATTACTTTTCCCGCCATTGGCGTATCCGGCATATGAAGATTAGATTGAAGTTTTGTACACTCATCGGCATCGATGGGGAGGATAGGGACATCACGCCATCCACTTTTACTTGACAGAACATTACCTGATACCCATTTATGCATGGCACGGGGAGATGCGGTGATGTTCGTGATATGTACCCCACAACCTTCTGTCTCGTGTAATTTCAATCAGTTCTAACACAGACGATCTTCCATTTCATGATGAAAAATTGTCTAGCATCTCGGTCTCCCTCTGTCTCTTTTCCCCTCCAACTTGCTCGCCATAACGATGTCCTTTTGTTTTCCCCTTCCAGTGACATAACCGAAGAATGTAGCTTGTCTCATTGTGTTGGCAATCAATTTTTTCCCTGAGTCAGTTGATTTCGAGACATGTTTATTACTGTGTGTGTGTGTGCTTGTGTGGATTTTTCAGAGTATCCTTATCATCATCATAAACCACTTCTGCCGTTGAGCTCCGTGGGGAGGAATAGTTTGCGATCCAGTGCACGCTGGCTGTTATGCCGTGAAGGCGTAAAGTGTCTTTAATGTTATCGATCCATATTTTTCGCGGCCGCCCAGATAGTATTTGATCTTGCTGCATTCTTACGAGATGGCCAAACCAATTGATCTGCTGTTTCTCGATGAATCTAGTACAAGGTGTTGTTCCCACAATTTGTCTGATTGTGTCATTGCTTTTCTCATGCATCTCATCTCGCAGGTGGTGATTTTGCATATATGGGCTTTAGATAGTGTCTATGTTTGACATAAATATATGTTTTAATAATCCGTCTCTTTGCACTCATAGTTATGATTGGATGTCATAATAATGGTGACAGTTAGTATATAAGTGCACCTGCTTTCTGACATCTGGTTTCTATTTCACTCTTAGTTCTGCCTTCTTCCGTGATCACACTTCTTAGATATTTAAACTCCCTAACCTGAATCAGACCAGAATCATTCAGCTGCGCGTGTAGTTTGCCAGGGGCTCTACAAACTTGCTTTGTTTCGGTTTTGTTTGGATTGATCTTCATACTGTATTTACTGGATGCTAACCATTCGTTTATACCACATCTTGCCGCTTTTGGAAATTTTTATACCGATATTGACCTACACTCACACCAGATATAGGTTGGTTGGTTGGGGGATGGTGGGGGGGGGGGGGGGGGTATATTCTTCTCTCGTGTTATAATCTTACAGTGTTGTTTGATTGACATTGACAACGACAAACAGATCTGAATTTTCCACGGTAATCTACTGATTCATCAGTTAAAAGAGGAAAGGGCTATGTAGTAGAGGTAATCCTGATCCTTCACACGAACCAAGGACAGCTAAGATTACTCTCAGAACATGAAAGGATATATGCTGTTGGAGATCGCAGGTTGTAGGGAGGCATGATCGCCCACGCGTGGCGACGCATATGACATGCCAACTTTGTATCACATTTTCTTCTTCTTCTTCGCGTTAACTCTTTGTAAACTCCGGCGGAAAGTTCAGATTGTACATCCATTTCTGAACTCTAGTCCTGTTCCAGAAACTCAGTGTTGCGTGTACATCCGTTTCACAGGACTGACTCATTTGAATGCAGATTGTTGGCTCCTTGCCTCTCATGCAGATGTACTCCGACTTCGAAGGAAGCTCCTAGTTAGTCGACTCTTACGACATGCTTGGGCAAGCAGTAGGTCTATTCTTGTTTTTCCAACATAGGGGTCCCGGAACCCACACGGGGAATATCACGTTTTACTTGTTTCCATCAAATATTGGAACATTTTTATGTTGAAATCTAACCCCATACTGTCAATATCTCCCAACAGTTTAATCAAGTCACCGCATTCCACTTGGTTAAATCCTTCTTCTACTATTTTTTAACTTCAACCCCCCCCCCCCCCCCCCCCCCCCCCCTGTGGGGACAAGGGCCCTATTTTTGGGTAACAAAGACCAACTCCACTGTCCCCTTAACAAGCATGTTGTAAAGGCAACTAATTAAAGGTGTTTTATTCGAAGTTGGAGGGCTTTTGCCTGAGATTTGAGGAACCAGCAGTCTGAATACAAATAAGCCAGAAATGTAAAGTA